TGGCAGCGGGCAGCAGCGAGCGGCGGGTAGCGGGCGGCGGGCGGCGGGCAGCAGCGGGTGGCGGGCAGCGGCGGGCAGCGGGCAGCGGGCAGCGGGCGGCGGGCAGCAGCGGGCGGCGGGCAGCGGGCGGCAGGCAGCAGCGGGCGGTGGGCGGCGGGCAGCGGGCGGCGGGCAGCAGCGGGCGGCGGGCAGCAGCGGGCAGCGGGCGGCGGGCAGGGCCCACCCCTGGCTCTGCTGCCAGGGCTTTCGTCGCGGCGGCTTCTCTTGCTGCGGAGCCCAGGGCTTCAGTCCTTGCGGCCTGTGGGCTCAGCAGCTGGGGCTCATGGACTCTAGAACCCCGGCTTAGTAGTTTCGGCGTGTGGGCTTAGTTGCCCCGTGGCACGAGGAATCTTCCTGGGTCAGGGATTGAAACCGTGTCCCCCGGCATTGGCAGGCAGATTCTTAATCACCAGACCACCAGGGAAGTTCTGTCTTTGTTTTTATTTGTTTGTTTGAATGCACTTGTATTTGCCCCAAGATTTAAAACTCTGTGGGTTTGGGACTCCCTGTCAGTCCAGCTGTTAAGACTCCATGCTTCCACTGCAGGCTGGGGTGTGCGGGTTTGATCCCGGGTGGGGGCCTAGGATCCCGCCAGTAGGCGGCACCGCGGGGCCAAAAAAGGTCCGTGAGTTTGAACTCACATCTTGTTCATCTTTGCCTCTGCCGCCGAGTCCCTAGCATAGTCCTTGTTACTCTCAGGGAGTTTCCATTTCTTTTTCTGAGATCATGGTACCTACTGCATAGGGGTTCTGTGGCTACTAAACCAAAAACACACTATTCAAATTTTGATACAGTCAGTATTCAATAAATGATTGATTATTGTTATTATCATTTGAAGGAATAAATGATGGAGCAAGTCCTACCTACTCTGCCTTCAAAACGTCCTTTTGAATTCCACTTCGTCTCCCTACCGCCACTATTATCGCCCTGCTCCCAGCTGTGACCATTCTTGATCCCATCACTGCAGTCCACTGGGCCCAGCCTTTCTGGATTTGTGGAAGACAATTTTTCCACGGGCTGAGGAAGAGGAATGGTTTGGGGGTGCACGTTACCTTTATTGTGCAGTTTATTTCTATATATAATTATTCTGCATTATTATAAAGCATTTTCAAGGGAAAAACCAGGGGGCCACCCTGTCACCAGCATATATATCCAGACTTAGGGGACAGTCCTCTTTTGAAATGAAAATCTAGCAGAAGATAACGTCTAGGCCCATTTTCCACAGTGAACTATGTAACAGTCCAGGGTGAATTCTCCAGGGCTGACTGCAGGCAGAGCAGAGGGAACCAAGGCCTGGGGACTTGCTTGGCTGCTCAGACGTGGGAAAGCGCCCCCTGAGGAAATGCCCAGACGTGAAGCCCCAGACCTATCCTGACCCTGCCCTCACCAGCTTCAGGACATACAACTGCAGGAACCCTGAGGTCCCAGCGGAAGACTGGGGAAAGCTTTGGATTCAGGACTTCTGAATTCCAGGTGATTCGGGCAAGCTACCTCCCCTCTCAGGGCCTGAGTTTGTAACTTTGCCATAGGTTGTCGACTTGAAAATATCTTTAAAATGCCTTCCAGTTGTCACTGTCTATAATTAAAGGAGCTTCAGGTGTGGAATCGTCTGGATTAGGCTGTTTCTGAGCGATAGGACTGTTCATTGGAAGGACTGGTGTTGAAGCTGAAACTCCAGTACTTTGGCCACCTGATGTGAAGAGCTGACTCATTGGAAAAGACCCTGCTGCTGGGAGGGATTGGGGGCAGGAGGAGAAGGGGACGACAGAGGATGAGATGGTTGGATGGCATCATCGACTCAATGGACATGAGTTTGGGTGGACTCCAGGAGTTGCTGATGGACTGGGAGGCCTGGCGTGCTGCGGTTCATGGGGTCGCAAAGAGTCGGACGCGACCGAGCGACTGAACTGAAGCCCATTGAGCGGTAGGAGCTCAGCATGGCCAGCAGGTGGCGCCATTGCCACACCAAGATGCCCAAAGCAAAGCGTGGGGAGTGGGGGCTGGGGATTCTGATTTTTCTAGCAAGCAGAGTCGCTCAGGGCAAGCTACCAGCATCAAGAACTAGTTGCCACCCCACGCTGTCCCCTAAACACACACACACACACGGCTTGCTTCCAAAGCCTACACATTCTGACAAACTCAGGGTAATGTACTGTTACAGGTTGCTGAGCCTGAGGCTGACAGCAGATTGAAAAGCAGAGACATTACTTTGCCAACGAAGTCCATCTAGTCAAAGCTGTGGTTTTTCCAGTGGTCATGTATGGATGTGAGAGTTGGACTATAAAGAAAGTTGAGTGCAGAAGAATTGATGCTTTTGAACTGTGGTGTTGGAGAAGACTCTTGAGGGTCCCTTGGACTGCAAGGAGATCCAACCAGTCCATCCTAAAGAAGATCAGTCCTCGGTGTTCACTGGAAGGACTGATGTTGAAGCTGAAACTCCAGTACTTTGGCCACCTGATGTGAAGAGCTGACTCATTTGAAAAGACCCTGATGCTGGGAAAGATTGAGGGCAGGAGGAGAAGGGGACGACAGAGGATGAGATGGTTGGATGGCATCATGGACTGGATAGACATGAGTTTGAGTAAACTCCGGGAGTTAGTGATGGACAGGAAGGCCTGGCGTGCTGCGGTTCATGGGGTCGCAAAGAGTCGGACACGACTGAGCGACTGAACTGAACTGAGCCTGAGGCTGTAGGGGTTTGAGAGACCCAGCTGCCTTTCCTCCTCCTGGCTTCCCGGGAGTCTGTGCCCTGTCCACCGGTCTTACCCGGCCTCACTCTCCTCCAGCCACTCCCAGGGCAGGCTGTGCCACCAGACAGAGGCCAGCCTGACGTTTTTGATTAACCGTCTTCCCTTTCTCCAACCCCCAGCCGTCACCTTCTAGGGAAACCTCAACACTTCCTCCGTTTGCCTCCCCGAGTCCTGGGGAGGAATGTCTGGTTAGAGCAGTGGGAGAAAAGCAAGAGGGAAGTGGTGGGGGGTGTGCTGCTGAGGGGAAAGGTCTGGCCTGGGCCAGATAAGCCTGGAAGGATCCTTTGTTTGGCCCCAACCGCAGCTGCCATTGTTGACACAACTGGGAGCCTTTCCCAAAGGTCCTGATTGTCCGACAGCTCCCCTTCCCCCACTTCCTACGGGCTTGGGTGGAGTTGGGGGTGTCTGGGCTCTGTGGGTGGTGGGGGCTTACAGATAGTTTTGCAGTTAGGCTGTTGTCTTAATGCAGAGGTGGAAACCAGCCCCTCCAGGGGCTGGCAGCCAGATGTCTCAGAGAGACGTGCCCACACTGTCCCGCACTGTTGTACCCGCACCTGGGGGCAGGGATGGTGTGACAGCTGAGGGTTCACAGGCCCTGGTTCCTCCCCGTGGCCTGGCATCTTTTGCATATGTGCCTCTTCTCAGAAGGTGTTCACGAAGGGCGTGGCTCCTAAGTTGTCAGCATTCTCTCTGCTTTTCTTTCTGCAACTAGGAGCATCAGCTTCCCTGAGAGCATTCCTGTCTCCCTGCCAGAGAGGGGAGCAGTCAGTAGGCCCAGATGAAAGGCAGCATCCTGGTTGGTACCCTGAGATGGCCAGCCCCTCCCGCCTCGTCCCCACATGGTCCCCTTCGGTCTCATGGGGAGACCTCTGCTCTGGTCTTCAGACACACCCAGCTGGCACAGAACACAGAACAGATGTGTTTCAGTATCACTTTAATTACATTATTTACATAGGCAAAACAAAACAAAAAATCCACCCCATCTTCCTATCTCTGGAAAGTTCTATTTCCAACCGTCACTGAAATCAGGATCCCTTTTCACCCTTCTGGAAAAAGAAAAAACAACAAACGAGGACCTGGGTCACCTGCAGAAAAGGTGGCTTGTGGTGAGGGTCCTCTGGAGATGTCCTGGGGCCCTGACTGCATGGGGTGCAGAGTGATGAAAGGGTCAGGATCGGGGAGACAGAGACAGAAAGGAGTCTGCTGGGAGACTGAGGCCACAGCTCAACCCAGGAGTCAGGGAGAGACGGGAGGAGGCCGTCAAGACAGAGGTGAAAGTCAGAACCTAGCCTCAGAGCAAAAGGCTTCCTTTGAAGCGCATGGGTCAAGAGGCCTGGCTCAGAGATCTGGTCCCGTGGTCCTGTCCACTCTGACCCGCTGGCAGAAACAGCAGCCCAAGCAGAGGCTCCGTGTGGCCCTGCAGGGACCGGGACCAAGCTGTGTGCCCTCACCCCTCTGCCCTTTGAGTGGGAACACGTGTCCACGTGTATCCCTACCAGGTCCTCCAAAGACTCTGGAGGTTGTTCTAAAACTTGGAGCCTGGTTCCAGGCTCAGCCAGAAAAGCTGCACAGGCCTCGGTCCACAGAGGTGGGGGTGGTGGTGGGGGGTGGTTTACCTTGGAGCTTGGGGAACTTAGAGAGCAAGAGGGGAGCTGATGAGCAAATGTTCAGTGCCTCAGAGGGGGATAACGGAGATGGGTTAAGACGGCATGATTTTCTGTACAAAGGGGCAAGTGTGAGGGGTTGCTTTGGTGTTCCTAAAGTGGAGAAAGAAAAAGTACAAGGAAGAAGCCGGAAAAGGTAACACCTCCTGGGATGAAATCACAGCCCAGAAAAGCCCCTGCTTTCCCCTGGGAGTTCCTGTAATGAGGCAGAGAGGAAGGGGAGGAAAGGGGCTTCCGCATGGAAGCTGCAAGACCGACCATCCCACCCCCCACCCCCCGGAGGAGCTTCTCAGCATCTTAGCTGTGCGCATCACACCTTTCCTCAGAGCAGCCTGGAGGTGGGTGCAGGGAGCTGACTGTGTCGAGGGCAGGAAGACCCCTCGGCCTAGTACAGGGCAGGGCTCCGAGGACGGCCTCCGTGGGTGTGTGCAATGGGAAAGGGTGGGCGGTGAGGGGGCGCCGCTCCAGCGTGGAGGCCGAGAGCGCTCAGACCAAGGGAGGGGCTCCTCCCCCAGATCCCACCTGGCCTCGCCCCTCCCCAGCCACGTCACAGTTCGGTATCAGCCACCACACGTTGTCTCGCTGAATGGCCGTTTCTGGAGGTGGCCTGGCCGGTGCCATTCTCCTGAGCCCCTCGATTCACAATGGCCTTTCCCTGAGCCTCGGGGGAGGCCTCAGGGCCTGAGCTATAGCCCTGGCCTCCACTGTTCTCCACGTAATAAGGGTCTTCGCCCTGGATGGTGTATAAATAAAGCAGCATTATCTCGTAAGCATGGGAGCAAGAGGAGGAGTAGGGGGAAGAGGAGAGGCAGAGGCAGGGGAGAGGGGCTGCAGCTGCAAGTGCAGGCTCCTTTCTTCCTGAAGAGCGCTCAGGGTTCCAGCTCCTAGAGGAGAAAGGACAGAGGAGAGGCACCTCACCGTGCCAAGGCAGCTTGAGAGCCAACTCGCGCCAGAAACTGGCCTGTCCCCAGGGTGGAATAACCTCCCCAGAGGAGGTGAAGGGGCCAGAGACCAACAGGCAAGCCCTGGCCTTGTCCACCCTCCCCTAGACCACTTCCAGAGTCGAGTTTCCTTCCACACGTCCCCTTCTTGTGAGACGCTGGGTACCCGTGGGCCTTTAATATGCTTGCAAAGAAGTGGCTGCTTTAGCTGCCTGTTCTGGTTTGTACCCAGCTAAACTATCCCAGGGAAAACAATAAATAGAGAACACAAACCATCTGTTACCATGGGGTGGGGAGCAGGGCCCCGGTTCATGCCCCCCTCCCCAGTCTATTATATGTTGCTTTGACGCATCCATGCGTACAGCGATGTGCGTGCACACACATCCCCGTGTGAGCGCACAGAAGTGCGTCTTCTGCTATTTCTCCTCCCCTTCTGCGACATCCGTGGCCCTCCCCGAGACCCAGCTTCCTCGTTTTCTTTGCCCTGGAGCCCGGAACTGACCAGCCTTTCTCCTCCTGGGCTCCAGCTGCGGCGGTTCATCAGGAAGTAGCATGTGGTGATCAAGACAGCCAGCAGGACCCCCGAGATGAGCAGTGCAATCAAGGTCTTCCGGGAAGAGCTCTGGTGGCTGCTGACATCTTCTTCCGAGATGTCCTCGATGCCCATCTTGAAGAGAAGACGTAGAAAACAGAGAGCCTTCCATTTGTGGAACGTGGGTTCTAGAAGAGGAGCCCAGCCCATGCTAGACCACTCTGTGCGACTCAACACTGAATAGACCCAAGGAGACGTACACCGCAGGGGTTTTCTAAACAGGACTCAAGACTGGTATTTCTTCATTAAGTCAAACTGTAAAATTTTGCTCCAAAGATAGAAGGGCGAAGACTGTTGGAGCAGGGTGGGAGGTAGGAAGGGTAGGTCTGGGGAATGTGATTACTTTCTCCCCTGAGACCCCTCATCTCCGAGAACTTACCTCTCTCAGGTCAGACTGGTACCTTTTCAGAAGTTTGATCTTGCTGGAACATTCTGGAATGAGAAATGGAGCATGCTGAATCTAGAAGCTGGAACAGCTCATCCTGCACGGTTCTAGATGTTCTGATGGTGAGGGTAGATCTGAGGAAGGTCTTTCGCAAACTCAGCACGGCCCTGCTCCCCCACACCTGTGCCCCCGAGCTGCGATGCCTGGTTCCTACCCAGCATCCTCTCACCTCAGCCCGCCCCCTCTAGGCCTCAGCACAGACCTGTCCCTTACCTGTGCTGTTGGCCAGGACCAGCAGCAGGCACTGAGGCTTCGCCTCGGATTGGGCCAGGAGCAAGGAGCACACCTCGGCCTGCTCCTCCTGACACAGGACTCGGGTCAGCTTCTCCTCGTTGTTCTTCTTAAACTCCTCCTGGGACAACCGAGAAAAGTGGTGAGCAGGAGATGAGCTGCTGGTATCCTTTGCACTGTATCTGGGGGCTCAGGCAATAATTCGGATTAAAGTCACACTGTTACCCTCAAAACAAAAATAATCCTTTTTTCCCCCCTAAAATTCCAAGTGAAAAAAAAAATCTTGCAAACTTCATATGTGCAAAAACATGATAAGAAAAAAAAAAACAAACTCCAAAATTTTCCAAGACTAAAAGGTGGTCTTAGCCGGTGCTCTACAATGTCAGAGAACAAATTTAGGAACTATTACCTTATTGAAGGATTGCCCATGTAAACATACACTATCCAAATTAAGTTCAAAAGAAATCACCAATAACACAAAATATTAACAGTGCAATAAAATGAAGATAAAACCTCTGTTTCAAGGTTATAAGAGGCCCAAATATTGACAGAAAACCTAAGGGAGGTGAGGAGTAGAGAACAAATTTATGACTATAGATGCAACAAATGTATGACTGTAGATCCTCGTCCCTTCCCTCTTAGTCTCCAAGGGGTCTCACAGACAGCATGGCTCAAATTCAAGTGGGGCTCTTGTCTAGTCTTCCATTCCCTGTTCCCACTAGAGACACGGAACCCAGTTTTACATGAGGTGGACAGGTCGCTCCAGGTTGCTGACTGACTGGTCCACGGGAGTCAGGCACTCAGAGTCAGGAGACAGACTCTGACAATTCTTCTGACAAGTCCCAGGAAAGGGATGAATTAGAAGCCCTGGCTGTTCCCCCTCCTCGGTCTTCTAGGATTTATTCCAGCAGCCTCTGAAGGGAGTGGCCTGCTCTACCCAGAAAAGGAATCAAAACCAAGACTCTCTCCTTTGTCCGGATGGCAGATGGCGGGGGAGGAAATGCCTGAGCAGCTCTGACAGCTTTCCTGTGAGGGGAAAACTGCTGGGGCGTGTGAGGGGCATCAGAACTGAGCCTCTGTGGAGGAGAAAGCTTCCTGTTTGCGGAGCAGCGCTGCTCCGGGGGCAAGGCCACAGGGCCCTCCCAGCTCGGCAAGCAGCCTGGGTATTTTCCTATTGCTGTGGCCCAAGGCAGTAAAACCCAGGCTCCGTTGCTCCCGCACAAGGCAAGGTCAAGATTGGCCTCACGTCCCAGCTTTCTTCTGCCAGCTGGAATTCGAGGCTTTGGGGAGGCCAGACAGCAGGGTGAGCGAACCTCCGGATCACAGAAGAGAGGAGTCCAGTGGGAACCTCAGAAGGTCCCCAAGAGCCAAGGTTACAGAGAGATGAGTCCTCAGGCCACGGCTCCTTCTGATGAGGCAGGTCTCCAGGGAAGTGCCAGGATAGGAGCTGCTCACAACAGCATTCGCCGTGGGGAGTCTGGGCACCGCACTGCATGTGATCAGCAGTCTCCTTCCTCTGGGCCCTCGTCCCCTTGGACTTGTCTTGCTGCCCCATGAGCACCTTCTGGACGAGGAGGAGGGAATTCCCTGCCTGGATGACTCTGGGCTTCTCAGCTGTCTCGGGCTGACATGTGTCTCGTTCCCAAGAGAGGCAGGGGAATGGGGCTCCTGCAGAATCTTAAACAAGCCTAACAAGGAGGCACCTCCTCAGTGTGCTGAGTCCTAAGAAGCTCCGCCTCGATCAGACTCAGCTGTTCCGATGGTGATCAGGACTGCGTGAATCCCTCTGTGCGTGCGTCGTGTGTGTGGTCTGTGTGTGGAGCAGGGCTAGCAATGAATTCCACACGGTCAGAGCTGTTGGTGTGTATGCACGGCCATGAAGATAGACACTGCTTCCTATGTCTCAGACACTGGTTCTAAGTGCTTTCTGTATGTTGACTCTATGAGACTGTTCTCCCCATATTGTAGATGAAGAAACTGAGGCACAAAGAGACTTCAGAGTTGACAGAGCTAGTCACGTGGTAAGCAAGCACGCACCTGCTTCAGGGTTATCAGAAGCATCTCAAAATAGGCCTCACAGAATGGATAGAATGTATGCAGGAGAAGCTGGGGAAGGGCCTTGGGAGCGTGGGTGCCACCCGGAGGAAGCCCAGGCGCGTATGAGCCGGTGGCCTTTGCAATACGGGTTGCCCGGGGAATGAAGCACATGGCCTTGCCCCTTGGAATTTCATCCTTCAAGACTGGATTCCACCTCACCTCCTCAGAGAAGCCAGTCCCTGTCTTCCAGCAGACTGGGAATCCGTCCTTGCTCTGCTGTTTACTAGGTTCTTTGCAAGTTGTACAACTCAGCTGAGAGTGAGGCTGCTCAGCTGAAGACTCAGCCGGGGTGCTGACCGGAGAGCTGCTCTGTGAAGAGTGTCCAACAAGGTGCTTGGAACCAAGTGGGCACGGGTTAAGTGGCAGCTGTCCTGGAGCAGCACCTCCCAGACCACATCGTCTAGAATCCACCCGGCGATGTTGAATCACATTCTGCCTTACTGCTATTATCATTTCTCTGTGACTAGATTGCTAGGCTTCTTAGTAGTGGGAGGGAAGTGGGTGCACATTAAACAATTTTGAGCCCAGACTGCACAGAGCACAGTGCCAGAGAGACAAGAACTCAGTGAGCTGTTCTTCGTCTTAAGGTCCCAAGTGGTTTGACTTCCACCCAGGGGCCCTCCGCCCCTTGTTTAGTTTCTTGGACTCGATTCAGGGGAATAACAGTGTCCAGCCAGCCTCCCTCCTACTCTGGAATCCAACAGCATCAGTGAATTGTGTTTGGGCCTGGAAAGAAGCAGGTGGATCCTGAACAAAGCACAATGCGCCTCCGGATGCTTGAAATAAACATCCTCCCCCAAGAGAGGCTGCAGGCAGGCATCATGGGAGAGTGGGCAGGAGGAAGCCACAGCCTCACCATCTTGCTCGTGGGAATCAGACTGATGGACCCCTAACTGCATTGGCTAGCACATGATATTTTATAAAAACAACTATCATCATCATCATAAAACCACCTAAGTTTTCTAAAGTAACATTCTCAAACTTTGTAAAGACTCTCAGCATGTTAAAGAAGCACATTAAATATTGGAGTAGGGGGACAAAGGGACAGGTATTTTTCTAAACTTTAAGATATCACCCAATGTTAAGACTCTAAGATCAGTCATCTCTCTCTCTCCCTTCCTCCCCCTCTCTCAGTATTTTATCGACTTTGGTGTGAGCTTCACAATGCAGCTAAAACACCTCTTTTCATATAGAGACTGGAATAATTAAAGCACCCGTTACAAGTCACACAAGTGGGCAGCTGACCAAAAGTTAGGGTGTCCCAGATCTCAGGTTCTTTCCAGAAGACATGCTGTCTTCATCAGTCCCCCATCTGCAAGTTATTTTTTCTGCATGGAAACTGACCTTTGTGTTTGAGCAGAAGGCAAGGAAGACACGGGCTGGGGGATATTATCTGGAGGCAGCCTGCCTCCAATGAAGGAAATGTGACAGAGCAAGGGGAGTGAGCTAGCTGAGTAAATATCATCTCTGCCTATAAACATATGTGGTTCTAAAGAAAGGCAGTTCTGAAAGACAAATTGGAGGGCGAAGGACTTGAATAGAAATTTCTCCAGAGAAGATACACAAATGGTTAGTAAGCACATGAAAGGATGCTCAGCATTATTAATCATTAGGAAATGGCAATCAAATGCACCTCACATCCAATCAGATGGCTACTATCAAAACATTGAACATGAGTGTTGGTGGGGATGAGGAGAAACTGGAACTTCTGTGTCCCATTGGTGAGAACATAGAATGGTGCAGCTGTTATGGAACAGAGTACGGTGATTCCTCAGAATATTAAAAATAGAGTTACCATATGATCCAGTAACTCAATTTCTGGAGATATAGCGAAAGAAATGAAATAAGAGTGTTGAGATATCTGAGCAAACATATTCATAACAGTATTATTAACAATAAGCCAAAAGGGGGAAGCAACCCAACTGTTCATAGGTGAATGAATGAATAAAATTGGATATGAACACACAATAGAATATTGTTCAGCCTTAAAAAAGAAAATTCTGACACATGCTACATCATAGATGACCCTTGAGGACATTAGACTAAGTGATTATATATCAGTCACAAAAAGATAAATACTATATGATTTTACTCATATGAGGTACCTAGAATAATCAAATTCATAGAAAGAGAAAAAATAGTGGTTATCAGGGAGAAGGAGGAGGGGAAGGGAAGTTGTTTAATGGGTGGAGAGTTTCAGTTCTGGAAGATGAAAAGACTTCTAAACATTAATCATACAACAAGGCGAATGTACTCAACAGTACTGAACTGTACACTTAAAATGGTAAATTTCATGTTATGTATATTTTACCACCATTAAAATGATTCCTTGGTAGATTCCCCTGGATCAATAGATATGAAATAAGAATAAGGGCTTCCCTGGTAGCTCAGCTGATAAAGAAGACGGTAAAGAGTCTATCTGCAATGTGGGAGACCTAGGTTCGATCCCTGGGTGGGGAAGATCCCATGAAGAAGGGAATGACAACCCACTCCAGTATTCTTGCCTGGGAAATTCCATGGACAGAGGAGCCTGGCAGGCTCCAGTCCACAGGGTCACAAAGAGTCAGACATGACTGAGCAACTCACACACATACACACACACTTGAGAATAAAGTAAGCTTACATTCTGGAAACTGTGGGAAACCACAACCACCAAAGAGTAAATTAACCTGATGCTGCAGCAGAGAGAATGAACGTCAGACGTGGGTGATACGTTCTGCTAATGAGGCTTCTGAGATGCAGTAACAGCTGCTTGACAAGAGGATGGGATTACCGTCCTCTGGCTGACATAGGTGACCTCTATCTAGAGGTGAGGCACCGCAGCAAAAGGAGAGTAGCTGGGATAGAAATGTCTAGAGAACGCGTGTACAGAAGGCAGGCCCAGTAATCCCATAGCAAGAGCTAACAGGCTGGATCCTTAAGATGAGTAGTCTGGAGAGCTGGGAACAGTGCCTGTTTCTGTTATGGGAACATGTTAGATGGAAGAGCACGACAGCAGTAAACAAGTATTCGAGGGTGTGATGTTAGGGGGACCCATGTCCTTCATGCTTCTTATTAGGCCTGAGTTTCCCCTTGATGAAAACCAGGGCCATAAGGCCCTCTGACTCCCAAGGTACAAAAGCAACCTAAGGAAAATCAGGAGGCACCACACCACTTTGGGGGAGAGGCTGATTATCAGAGAAGCATTCAGTAGGACTCACGGAAAAGAAATCGGAAACAGGAGCTGTGGCCCCAAATTCTGGAAGAATGATTTCTGACTGAGGAAAACAGGAGGTAATGCTACTTGAGGGCTGGGGAAGAGGAAACCCCAGGAAGACAGAGGGATCAACAGTGGTGGAAGGAAAAGGAAAAAAAAAAAAAAAACAGCACTGCATAGGTGCTGCTATCGAGTTGACTGATCACGGGCCGCGCAGAAGCCTTCTTTAGGATATTGGAGGAATTACTATCTTTCCACATCCTTACTCGCAAATTCTTCCCAAATTACAGTAGAGTGCAGATCTTTTCAGCTGTGGCACAAAGTAGGTTAGACAGTAAAGGCCTCAGACAGAGAGAGAGAGACTGCAGCACAGTAAAAGCAGTTATTTCTGGAGTAGCAGTAAGTTTCTGGCACTTATCTTGTAGGATGACCCTCGTTAAATGTGAACTTTGAAGAGCAGTGGACAGACATTTAGAATAAATCGTGTGCGATTAGCTCTAAATCGTCTGTACGAAGAATTAGTATTCTGGCACAGACCACTGCGATGCACAGGAAAATAAGTGCTCAGCCAAGATAATACAGAGAGAGAGAGAAGATGATCATTTTTCTTGCCTATAATTAGCAAACTGTTGGGCAAAAAAAAAAATGTTTTTTAAATGAGTTGAAAATCAGCATCAGAAACACAGAATCTTAACCTGTACACACTGCACATTCACGCTTAACTACTTTACAAGTTGCACTTAGCTATCCCCATTGCCTGAACCTCTGTCTTTCAAATTTCTGTTGTTTTTTAAAATTTTAAGTTAAATAGTTTTCTTAGGTATTATTTTAGAAGACCTGTGAGTCAGAATGACCCAGCTGATAATCACAAGATACCAATAGTCAAATTGGACAAAAATAAGTAAAGTAACACTCTCTACAGACTACAGTATTTACCCAGACTCTTTCTAATACATGCATGTCACATGTCATATAGATGGTTCCCTTAAATGGGTTCCCAACTTCTAAGAAAATGCTTTTTTCTGTAAGTAAATATCACTCTTCCTATCATCCCATCTTTCATCCAGGAAATTGTTGCTGTCAGGAAACTGGATTTACTGAAACAAAGCAAGGAGACCTGCTATCATCATGAAAAATTAATACAATACTGTACAGTTTGCCATGCAATAAGGCCTGAAACTGAAAGAAGAGGCGTAACTACTAAACAGAAAGAGAAAACCAACATATTATGAGAAATGGAGTGATGGTTTACCTTAAAAATGAAAAATAACCATTTAAAAAAACTCCTGGTATTAATAAGCATGTTAAAGAAAATGGCTAGACCCAAGATAAATATAAAAAACTCAAAGAAGTTTCTAATATACAAGAAAGAATCAACTGGAATATATTGTGGAAAATCTATATAATAAACAAATCTTAAGCAATCCATAAAACTTATAGGAAAAAACATTTTAAAAATTAAAAAAATAAAAAGACACAGAACAATACCAGAGGAAAATCAGAAAAAAAAAAAAAAAAGGTGAGATTTCAGAGCGGTTCCAATCAAAATTTTAATGGTCTTGTGGGGTTTTTTGACTTGTTGTTTCTAAAATTTTTCTAAAAAATAGATGAAAGACCTTATATACAGGTCTTTGTATAGCAAAGACCTACTTGGCTAGATATTGAAAGTGTTGATGTATAAAAGTATAAGGGCTTCCCTGGTAGCTCAGCTGGTAAAAAATCCACCTCCCGTGCAGGAGACCCTGGGCCAACTCCTGTGTCGGGAAGATCCCCTGGAGAAGGGATAGGCTACCCACTCCAGTATTCTTGGGCTTCCCTGCTGGTTCAGGCAGTAAAGAATCCTGCAATGTGGGAGACCTGGGTTCGATCCCTGAGTTAGAAAGATCCCCTGAAGAAGGGCATGCAACCCACTCCAGTATTCTTGCCTGGAGAATCCCCATGAACAGAAGAGCCTGGCTGGCTACAGTCCATGGGGTCGCAAAGAGTCGGACACGACTGAACGAGTAAGCACAGCACAGGGCACATAAAAACTTAATACAAACTAAAGGGAGAACTCCAGTCAATAAAGGAGAGAATCGCTGAGTAAATATTAAATGTTAGGGGAACTGGTTATATGGAGAATGAAGCATTTACAGCAAAAAATTCTTTCTGTACTAAAGAGTTATACGAAAATAATAATAAATAAATTGATTTTTTAGGTGACTAGTTTATATTTCGTGAAGGACTTTCTTAACATAAAAGCAAACCTAAATCGGACTATATATTACAATATGCATGTGTGCGTGCTCAGTCATATCCAACTATTTGCAGCCCTATGGACTGTAGCCCGCCAGGCTCTTCTGTCCGTGGGATTTTCCAGACCAGAATACTGGAGTGGGTTGCCATTTCCTCCTCCAGGGGAATCTTCCCGACTCTGGGATGGAACCCATGTCACCTGCATTGGCAGGCAGATTCTTAACCACTGAGTCACCTGAGAAGCCTATATAGTATAATCGAGGAACGGGAAAAGTAAATTTAAATAAAATCATCTTTGCCTTCTTTGTCCACCAGATGGGGCCTCTTACTCCCTTAAATCCAAAGCTCAATATTCAAAGCAGCCTGTCCTTGTTAAACTGCCCCACCTCCATCCAATTCGGTCCTTCCAAGACTCACCTTAAGGAGGTTCAGAAGTAATTTTGGGAGGAGAAGGAGAGGGATAGAATGGGCAGGGGGGTTTGACTTACACAGCTGGAGGTCTCATTTAGCTTCAGGCAGATGCTGTGGGTCAATTTCACTTCTTTGACTCTGGAACATTTTATTTCATTCTGTATTAAAAAAAAAAAAAGTAAACAAGTTAGCATCATTTCTTCCCCACCTCTTTTCTGGTTTGATTTCTATGAGCTACTTTTTAAAGAGGCTTTAAAAAAAAAGGAAATTTAAACATGTTGTTAGGAGACTAGAAAGTTATAAGACATACTCTTCTTTCACCTCACTTCTTAACACATCGGATAGTCAAAACTTTAGTTACTAGCCTGGGCTTGCAGCAAGTAGCTATTTGCAATCTTGGTAAACATTGGCTTGGATGGTGCAGAAGTGGAAGAGGGTAGGATCTTTCCCCTTGGAGCTGTTTTTCCCTCCAGTGAATTACACACTTGCAGGGGAACAGACAATGAGGTGGCCAGGAAGACTCTGGTGACACTCATTTTCCTCTTGGGCCCTGGGACTCTCCAGATTTCTATCCTGGCTCCCTTCAGCACAGAAGCCAGGCAGGTCCCCCATGCCTCTGGCAGGCTCCACGCCCTCACATTTTCTACTCTTCCTGCCAAAAGCTGTTGATGGCCACAAGCCCCAAGACTGAACAAGGCAGGTTTAGCTCAACACCCCTAGTCTTCTTAGCTCCTCACTGCCTCTCTACCCTGGCATACCACCAAACCCTCTCACAGAGAGGAAATAGCATTCGCCCTAAACATTTTGGGAAAAGCAGCACCATTCAGTGCAAGATAGTTTCCAAATATGCCCAAAGGCAAGTGGTACCTTGGTCCAAGACTAGACCAAGAGGTATAAGAAAGAACCGTTGAGAACTGGATGGATTTCTGAGAATCCTCTTTACACTCTACTTTCTAGAAACACTATACCCATGGCACAGACCAGTCTTGCCACCAAACCCTACCCTTTTCCTCCCCTTTCTCTCCCTTTCAGCAATATTTAAGCTGTATATTTCTCCTGTGAACTCCTACATGATCAAAATTCATTGGTTTGGATAAGCAGAGGTTAATGGGAAGGGAGAGAGCTTGCATACATATGAAGTGAGGGGGAAATCTGTCATCTTTAGCCCAATTCACCCACCTTGATGATACTTTGGGTAGGAGAAAATGATGGAGAGGTTTTAATGGAAGAAGTCACAGGGCTGGTACTATTGTATAGGGAATCCGAAATATTTCCAGGAAACGTGCTGGGCTGCAAAGTCGCCTCTGTAGTTGCAAAGCTGATGAGGGTAGAAGACACTGTGGTGGCTAAAGAGGTCTGTGATGGGACAGAAGAGTTCACGGTTCCAGAGACTGGGAGGCTCTCAGAGGTAGACGTGAAATTGACTGTAGACACTGGAACTGACCAATACACAAGTGTGAACACATGCACAATGGCATAAACACACAGACAAACACACAAACACATCTCAGTTCATTCACATAGGCTCGGACTTCAACCCAGAAAAGGGAATCTGGGGAGTTAAAAATTACTTCATATCCTAACCCTTGGCAACTCATTTCCAGTCAGCTGTTGGAACCATAGCTATAATCTAGAGTGTATTAGAAATGCCCTCCAAGACGCTGAAACTGAACTGGAAACTGGTCTACCTTAGAGACACCAAAGACCCCCAGTTTGAATCTGTACCCTGTTTCCTTCACTTAGAAAAGATCATAGACTCTTCTTTTGTCACTAAGCTGGACTCAGGAGTACAAGAATTACTGATCAGAACAAGCAGCCCAGACACTGACTGCGGAAAGCTGTCACTACAGGAAGAATTGTCTAGAACATACTTCAGGGTTCCCTAAGCATGATACTCAAGCCATTATTCAAAGGAGCTTGTATGTTTTCGTCTGTGGGGAGACATAGAGGGCAGGGGTAGTTTGCAAATATCCTAATGCTTTACCCAGCTGCCAGCAGCATCCTTCTGGGAGCTTGAGATGAGAAATCTTTACCTAAGGTGACGGGTGTGGTCCCATTGCTGTCCTGAGAGACATTGTAGAGGCTGGTGCTTCTAAAAGTACTTGAGTTCACGCTTCTCCAGTTGGATGTAGTTGCAGGGACAGGTGAAGATGTTCCTGGGCTGAGTGGCACTGTGGCATTAGTAGTCATGTTCATATCTGTGAATTCCATAGAAGCTATAGAGAAACCGAGAAGAAATATCAGAGCCCAGATCATCCTGATGACTCATGGCATGACATGATTCAGTTTCTTGACATTAGGGAGAATCCATCTAGAACATTCCCTGGCAACAGAGAGGAACAAGGACACCCTCCTGGACAGTTGACTAATTTCCCACTAGATTTTTTTCCAAGGAAAGAGAGAAAGAAAAGTTCACATGCACCAAGCATCTAGCATAGTATTATTTATAGGAGGGAGAAGTTGCAAGCAACTAGATGAATTGCAATAGGGTAGATGTTATATGCACTCAGCATACCATAATCACTGCAAACAAAAATATGCTACAGTTATAGCAGCACGAGAATGTGAGGCAATGCTCATAATAGGCTAAGTAAAATAGAAACACTTCAAATTACACCTGAATAAATATTGCCAAGATCTAAAATGTGGGAAAAGATGCACCTCTATTTCCTTTTGAATGTGTCCTTCTCTCCATTCAATTTATTAACTCAGAATAACCACTAGATTCACACCAGCTTTATGCAATCCTTTAAAAAATCTTCTTTCCTTCCTAGATTGCCCCATTACCCAAATCCTTTCATTCTTTCCCTCAGGGCCTTAAAACCTATTCTTTTTTTTTAAATTGAGGAACTGTGGCTCACAAGCCCAAGATTTCTTTCGGGAAACTCTGACCTAGGAATCTAGCCGATGGACTAGTGAGCATATGACTTGGTTTTTCATCAAACACCGTGGGGACAGACAGCTGGGTTCTGGCTCTGCCAAGAATTCAATAATTTAATGTGTGTGTGTACCAAATTTTTAGATGAGGGTCTTTTCTTACTTGGGATTGTTGGGGAAATCAACGAGATAACAAATGCTATAGTATAATGTTTCTAGAACTAGTTATTCTCTGAGACTTTTCCTGCAGGTTCTTAACCCTCCCACATTTCCTATGGTACCCAGCAGTGCCATCCTTAGGTCCCGGAAGGACCCTCCCTGTTCCCAAAACATGAGCAGTCCATGGGGCCAGCAGAGGTGTATCCTGTCTTCCAGATCATGTGTTGGGACCAGAAGTCCTAGAACTTCTTGCCCAGATGGCTCTCTGCTTCCTGGAGGACCTCCATGGCCCTCTTCACCTTCCAAGGGTGAACTGCAGCTCCAGGGAACGTTCTCCAAGCTCAAGGGGAGCCAGAGTGCAGGGAAAATGTGAGAGCTCAAGCGCGTGGGTGGGGTGTCCCTTGCCTGCACGCACGGTCCCTTACAGTGTGGACCAGAGCCCTGGGTAAGAAGAGAAGAGTCTGGGCAAAGGCCGGGGACCATCTCTTCCTGCTAAGCCCCCCTGTGACACCGAACCCAACGGCTCTGAGAGTCTTAAGTTCAAATCTGGCCTTCCAGGTGGCCATAAAGGTACATTTTTAAGAAGATAGAAGATATTTTATTTACCAGTTCATTGGTCTGATTTATAACTTGAAGAATTTGGACATATAATATATGGGATATGGGCCTCCACTGTATTCTTGGCTTGAGCCCTAGAAACAATTAGAGGTAAGCTTGGTATCCACTGCTCACACCCAGCAATACTATCCTCAAGGAAAGGCCCCCCGGGGTCCCAGGGCACCCTAAAGCTTGTCTCTAACTTTTCTGATTGAGATCTGAGTCTGTATTTTTCAGAGGTTTCCAGGTAAATGCAGTGCAGGAGAACACCTCTTCTTTGGCGCAGCCTCAAGGCAGCAGTTAGGCAATGGTTTCAAGGCAATGAATTTTCCCCCAAAGGTGGTGTCAAGTCTCACTCTCCGTCATCCACCTCTCTTCCCAGCCTGCTGCAGGTAGGCTGGTACTCATGCTGAGTACAAAGCACCCATCTGAAAATGATGGGGCGCAAGAGGAGGAGGAACACGTGGTATTATTATTTCCATTTCAGAGATAAGAACCTGGATCACTGAGGTTTTAGCCAAGGGGCAACGCTGTCATTCACGCAGGGCAAGGAGCCATGGGGTCCCCCAGGCTTAGCTGACTCTTGAGTAGAAGCAGCAAGAGGGTCAGGGAGTCCAAACTGCTAAGGATCAGGATGCATCTTCCACACTTTGGAGAGAAAAGGATGGGCTTCTGGCTGGCTGGGGTTGGGGGTGGAAGGAATGAATCTCTCAGAATAAAATAGATGGGGAAGCAAACCCAGTGGTTTTGTCTTTAAATCAGTCCCCCTCGTCCTCTGTCATCCCCTTGTTCTGCTGCTTTTGATCTTTCCCAGGGGACCACAGAGGACGAGACAGTTGGATGGCATCCCCGACTGCATGAACATGAGTTTGAGCAAGCTCCGGGAGACGGTGAAGGACAGGGAAGCCTGGCGTGCTGCAGTCCATGGGGTCGCAAAAAGTCGGCCACGACTGAGTGACTGAACAAGTCCCTCTCAGCAATCTGACCCGAAGGTCTAAGTTCAGCGCAGGGGGCAGGTGGTGGGAGCATTTGGACACTGAACTGAAGGACCGTCCTCCCAAGGTTCCCATTCCAAGGCACCACGGGCGTTCCCCCTGACATCCCTCCTCCTGCCCACCCTGGTTTCTTCTTCCCTCCAGGACACCGCTTCTCGGGAATCCCATCTGGCCTGGCCTGGCCTGGCCCAGCCCTCTCCCCTCCCCAACGAAATCTGGGCCTGGCTGAGGTTACGTCATGCTTTTGAACCCCTTCCCCCGGGGCCTCCTTCACCCAGACAAACAGTTTTGAACTTTTCCAGATGTGAAGAGAGACCCACTGCCCGTTCTGCGCGCGGAGGTGGCCGCTCCAGAGGAGTGAGGCAACCCTGCACCCGGCCAGCTCCTGAGCCACGGGGTCAGGCTCCCGGCTGGGGCTGCCTCCTCCCACGCTCTCCCCCGCCAAGAACGGCGGAACAGGTTGCAGGAGCTGTCTGCAAACGAGGAGGGAACCCTAACCGCAGATTCACATCCCCGAGTCCAGGTGGAGTGGGGAAGCCCGTGAGACCCTTGAGAGACAGGACAAAGAGGGAAGGCAGGAAGGCAAGGCTGGGCCCTGGGGTCGATCCTGACCTAGCCGGGAGACTGTCGGTGAGGGCGGCTCTTGTTTTCATAGTCTCTAGAGCTCCCTCTCTAGTGCTCCCATGAAGAGATGGGTCTTGGAGGAACACAATGAAAAGCATCGGGACTGACCACAGGTCTGTGTTTATCCTGTCTTCCCCGACATGCCCATGGCGTTAGACCACCCAAGGCGGATCTTTCTTTATCCGAGCTTCTCATCACCAATGCGTATGGAAGTCATAGCAGCCTCCCAGCCAGATCCAAGACATGGTCAATGAAGTCTCCACCCCATTTCGCTCTAGAAACTGGAGGAACGGCTCTTACCCAACCCAACAGAGCGTTATGCCACAAGTTAAACTTGAACGAACACCTATCTTCTGCTGTTCACCTCTCACTCCATCTGTATTAACTGTGTCTCCTGAAGCACCCTGTTTGCCCCTACCTACCCTACTTGATCTCAGCCCATGAACTTGGGATAAAAGGAGACAAGGGATCCGGCAGTCAGAGACATGAGGATTCCAAGAAGCCAGAGATGTCACGAAATTTATGTTGTAAACGTCATGCATTTAACTTAGAGGTACTTATTTCAGAGGCAATTAGTCTTGTCTGACACAGAATTCTAACAAACGTCTTCATCTGCTATCCTAGTCAAAGCTAAAAATTAGTAAGGGACTACTAGAAGCAAACAACAAGGCGAACCAACAGCTGAAAATGAATAAACAGCAATAAATTAAAACCAGACACAAGTATTAAAACCCACACTAGTCTGGAACCACTTGTGGTCAGAGTAAATAAAAAATACACACTTTCATAAGTATTCACACTCAATGCGCATGAATCTGAGCAAACTCCAGGAGATAGTGAAGGACAGGGAAGCCTGGCCAGCTGCAGTCCATGGGGTCTCAAAGAGTCGGACATGACTTATCGGCTGAACAACAAGAATTAACAATGCCATTGAGTTACACCATAACCAAATTATTTTCTGGATACATCTAAGTCTGAAGGTTAAAGCCCCCTTTCCCCTAATACACTGAGAAAGCAGAGACGTATGTAATAGGTTTTTAAAAGATTTCTACCTACAATTAATATATTGAAAATTCTTTTAAACTTTAAAGGGCGTTTACAAATCTTCAGAGATCCAGAAAGCTCTGCTGCCTAAATTACTAAATTCCTGTGCTTTAGGAGATGTTTTTTCCCCATTATTTGGTCTTGTTTTTCACAGGCCCTCTGAGTTATAGTGGTGCTGTTTTGTTTGTTGTGTTTTTTTTTTTTTTTTGCTGGTGCTGTTTTCTGATCTCCTAGCCAGTCAGCCCCATCCTGCCCATCCTTTCAGGTTCTAGCACCTGACCTGAGAGCAGTTTCCTGGAGGAGACCTTGGATATCTTAGATACAGAGCTGGGAAGAAGGAACAAGCTGGCTTCTGCTGGGAGCCCACAGCCCGTGTTGATGGTTGATGGGAAGACAGGAGACCCCAGAACAGAGAGCTCAGACTCTGTACTTGGACTGTGTTGAAAGGTTCCTCTACCAAGTTCTAGCTTTATGACCATGGAAAGCCTTTTCACCTTTCTATACCTCCTCTGTAAAATGGAGATAAAAATAGCCCCTTCCTCCTTGCTTTTTGGAGGAATAAAGGAGATAAGCAGTGTAAAGCAACTGTCTGTCTGCTAAGTGCTCCAGAAACAGCGATTATCTTTATGACATAGGATATTCTCTTGCTTCTAGGAGACGTTAAGACATATATCTGCATGACTTATCTGGCAGAAGATCATATACACTGTTTCCTGAGTGTAGGTCTTGTCACCTCAGTTACATCGCAGATTTCCTGAGTGCTGGAACCGTCTCTTAGACTTGTTTATTTTTAACTCAAGGCGCTGAACACAATCCTTTCTGAGTTCACGATAGGCACTTGGGTTGAATGGCAACTGCATCAGGCGTGTTCATACTGACCACTTCTCTGTATTGCTAGAACCATGTCATTCAATGCTATAAGAGGACATTTACTTAATTAAGGGAATGTCCTTGAGAGGATAATCAGAATTAGGAAAGTTCTAGAAACCAAGTCACATGGTTGAGGGCTTAGTATTATTCCAGCTAGATCAATGGTTGCTGCTTGGTGCTGGTGGACCAAATCTGACCCACGTGTTGTGTGCTGTTTGGCCAGTGAGCTAAGAATGGCTTTTACAGGTTTAGAGTGTTGTAAAATAAAACAATGTAGAATATGTGTCAGAGACCACATATGTACTCCAGAGCCTAAAATATTTACTATCTAGCCCTTTATAGGCCAAAAAAAAAAAAAAAATTCAGTGATCTTTGATCCAGACAGGAAGAATTTGAGGGGAGAGAATAAACAATCTTCTTCAAGATTCATTTCACTTATTCATTCATTCTTAATTTTCCAAAGCACAAGTGATGTGCAGAGGACCAGACTCAGCACTGTGGGGAGTGCAAATGAAAACCTTTCTACTGTTAGGTGTTAGTGTCACTAGAATTTAAATAAATCCCTGTCCTCAAGGAATCTGTAATCTCGTGGGGCAGACTAGAAAGGTTGTTAAGGATTGTCCTGAAGAAAGATCAGAGTAATTCTATGAGAGTTCAAGGAACAGAAGTGCAATCAATGACTAGAAGTTACAGAAAGGCTAATTCCACTGCAATACCAAAAAAAAAAAAAAAAAAGCTAATAATCATAAAATTTTTCTTTAATAGAATAAACGACTCTGGGAGATAACAAGGTACTCATGTTCCTGGGAGCATTCAGGAAGCCTCCATGCTATGGATCTTGGCGGGTTTGGGTCATGTGTAACTAGATGAAAGTTCTAGGCTGATGCCTTCCTATGCTACAGAGGCTGGGTTGAGGTGTGAGTGTAAACCGAGAGTCTGTGGCCTGAGTGTTCCCGGGGTTCGGAGACTCCCCTTTAATATTCAAATAGCACATCTTGGACCCCGTCCACTTCCTGGGGAACCCTAATATCGTGAGCTCTCTCAGGGGGCCTGCGTTTCTCCCGGTCACCTCTTCCTCCATGTCCATCATTTCCAGGAACTCCTGTATTATAGCTCTGCGCTCAGACTGCAGGAGTTCTCATTCTACACTGCTGTACCATGGGCTCGCCAAATACCCATCCCTTTATCCCCATACCCAGAGCAACACTAATAGTGCTACAAGGCCAGTGTGAATTGCCTGAAGATTTAAGATCATGCAGGGAGATTACAGCACACCCCAGAGGAGACAACAGCATAATATTGAAATACTAGACATTCCCGTGCTAAACAGCCGGGCCACACCATAAGGAATTTTCCCAGCCAGGTCTTTTCCACCCTCCACTCACTACGTTCCCCTATTGCTCCAGGCGCTTCCCTCCTCTCTTTATGCTTGCCTGGGCTTGGAGTCCTTTAGCCTTTTGTCTCTTGGGTTCATCAAATACAAAGTTCCACTTTATTTTATCACACTCAGCAATTCAACTTCCTGCCTGCCACTGCCCAGCAAAGGTTTGTGCTAGGGTCCAGGTTTTCTCAACCGAAGACTCGTTAAGGCATTCTCTTAAACAATGGAGCTGGCTACCTAGAGACGGGGCTCTCCAGGAAGATAGCAGGGGTGGATTCTTTGTGGTTTTTTTCCCTCTTAAATCAGGAGCAGACTTCCCAATGAAGCCAGAGGCCTTTTCCTTTATGTCCAAAGGGAAGTGATTCATTCTAGCAGGCTCCAGGGTGTATGTCCTGGGACGCACATTTCTACCGCATTCATTTCTACCGCATTCATTTCTACCGCATTCTCCCAAGATGCATGCATCTTTCTCCTGAGCAAAGTCAAGGGCCCTTGAGACTAAAAAGTGTAGACACTGTGTTTTTATTTCTTAGCTGAGGAAGGAAGAGAATGTTCTCATTAGGAAAGTCAAAGCCCAGAAAAATATGGAAATTCTGCCCTGGCAACTCTGAGCATTTTCTTTTGGAGGGTGGTGTTTTATTCCTTTTCCATACCTTCGGATTTTCAGTTCCCCACACTCGGGGCCCTTTAGTGACATCCAGCAAAGTCAATGGGAGAGGGAAACTCAGGCACCCTTAAGGTGGAGCCAGGTAACCACTCCACCATGAACTCAGGCCTGCGCCCTCCTGCCCAGGAACTAAAGGGAATCAGGCAGCGAGGTGGTAAGAAGTGGAATTGTTGCTCCTTTTGATTTGCTTTTGAAAGAACGCTAGGCCTGATTTATCTGCTGCAGTGTGGGCTTTCTGGCCCTGAGCTTTGGAAGACAAAGACTCTTCCAAAGGAGATGAGAACTAGTGAACAGAGAGGCCCAGGAGGTGGAGCCAAAGGGATAAGAAAAAGATGCCCAGGCTCCCTTTATCGGTCAAGCAGGAATGCTGAGGGAAACCTGCGTTTGCAAAGGCAGTGCCAGCCGGGCCAGCCCTAGGAGGGGGAGCGCTGGGGACCATGGAATTAGTCAGAGGTCCCAAGGCTGCTCCAGCTAGGTCTCCATGTGGCAGCGAGTCAAGGGTGGAGTCTCTCCCCTCCGGAAAATATCTGATAAAATTCTTTTCCCTTTTCTTTTTTCCCCTCTTACACACAGCCCCAGACAGGATATGGGTGTGGGGTCAGCAGGCACGAAGGACCCAGAGGAAGAAGAGGAATGTGAAGGGGTGGGACACGCTGGACAGAGGAAAGACAGGCCTGGAGGGCTTGGAGGAAACAGATACCCTGGGCCTGACAAGTGGGCTTCCCTAATTACCTGCAAGGCTTCTCCCAGCTGGAGGTGTGACTCTGGTCACACACACACTCAGGTCAGACCCCAGCCTGCCTCTGGTCACCACGCAGAGTGGCCCCATCTCCAACAGAGACGGTTCAAGCCTGGAACAGCTTCTCACAGGGACCAAAAACCGACCTTCCCAGAACAAAGCTCCAGAGAGGAGAAAACTCCAGGCCTCCCTTCTGTGGCTCCCTAAAGTTCACAGGAACCATATCACAGAATTTTTGCAATGTCCCCTCGTTAGCATTTCAAGGTATAGTCACTCATTTCATTTACCCCACAACATATCAGAAAATGACTCCTGGTATTAAATAAAAACAAACCCCAGAAAGCTCTGGGGGAAGGCATAAAGCTACAAAGTGGCCTGAGCAGTGGGGCAAGATTGAGCAGAGGGACCTAGGGCCTGTTGCTCATCCCCGAAGCGGACACGCTGAAATTCTGCATGTGTCTGCCCAGGGTTCTGCAGAGGTTAAATCGCTTTCCCATCCCCTCCGCTGCAGGCCAAGGCGAGACTGAGACTGGCCAGCTGAGGAAATAAGAAAAGGGTGGGCCTCACTCGGCCCGGGACCAGGTCATCATGAGCTGTGAAGCCAAAGGAGCGTGGAGCATCGGATAGGAATCCGAGCTGCCGGTCAACACAGCCCGTTGTGAGGTGCAGACAGCCCCCAAGGCCATGCCGCATTCTAGGGCTTCAACATCTGAGCAACAGCTTTTCTCCCAGCCCCGAACAGCATGTCTGGGTCCGCCAAACAAGTCAACCCAGAGCCTAACAGAGCTTCCCCAGGCCTGGAATCTCTCTCCAACTGGGTGGGCCCAAAGGAAGACAGCATAAGAGGCCTGGCTGGCTGACCCAGGTCACTCAGAGGGACTATGTTGGGTAGCTTTTAGGATGCAGTTTAGGGAACTGGGAGCCCTGGAGGCCTGGAAGCAGAACCTGGAGCTAACAAGAGAATAACTTACAATATTTAAATCTGTCTAAGCTCCATGAGATGAGAACGGAGAGTGTTATCCCCAAATGAAAGCAATTACAAATAAATATTGATTGTGTGCCTACCAATTTTTTTCTTTTCAACAGAAATGATGGCAAGAGCTTAAGAAGTATCCAGACCTGCCTGGATAAGCAAAGGAGTGCCCCCTAGTCTGCACGTCTGTCCACTAGTTAGAACTTGGAGAACAGGGCAGGGAAAAAAAAAAAACCCCAAATGCAAGGAGCTTGAATTTGTGCCGGGGTGAGCAGTTGTGGTGGGGAGAGGAAGGCAGAGTACAGAACAAATTCCATTCACCCGACCCTTCTCTCCAGGTAAACAGGTGTGGATGCCCAGAGAAGAAGTCCTAACACAGATTTCCCATCTTAAACGCACCCTCACGGACTCTTCTAAACTCTCCATGTCACCTAACTCTGCCTGCCTCCCAGGCCTCTGGACCCCGGACCCAGGGTCTCGTCGCAGGCGGGCTTCGCTCCCATTCTTTGAAGGTCCAGCTCTGGCTCCCCGCGTCCAGGTGGTCGGCGGGCGCCAGCGCTCCCTTCCCAGCAACCGGCTCCGGCTGCCGCTTGCTTTCCGAATCAACCATCAGCTATAAACTTTTCCTTTCCTTTCCTTTTCTTCTCTCCTCCCCTCTCCCCGGGTTCTGGCTCCAGCTCTGCGCTCTGCGCACCTTTGGCATCTCCAGAACGCTTATTTCAGAGAAGAGTCTCCAGCCTGACTCCGGGAGGCCTGGGGCGCACCGCCCGGTTTACACCTGGGCTTCACTCAGGGGGTCCCCTTCCCGTCGCGTCCCACCCCCACCGACTCCCAGGTGAGGGGTCGGTCCCCACTGGGCTCTGTGGGAGCGGCCTCAGTCCCATCAAGCCAGGAGCTGCAGCAGTGGGCGTGGGCGCGGGGGTTGGGGCGGGGGTCCCCGGGGCGGGGTGGGGGGGTCCCTGGTTCCGAGATCGCCTCGACCCGGCGCGCTCTGCCCCCGGGAGAGCGCCGACCCTCCCCGCCGCCCAACCGGGCGGGCCGGGCGCGCGGCCGGTACTCACGCAGCAGACTCAGCAGGCAGAGCGCGGTCCAGCCCCGCGCCATCCCGCGCCCCGCGCGCGCGCCCCTGCGGCCCAGCATCGTTCCCGCGGCGACCCCGGAGAGATGCGCAGAGCGCGAGACACTGCCTGGCCCGGCCGGGACGCGCGGCTCCCCGCCCCTCCGCCCGAGCGTGGGGTGGGCGAAACTCGCTTTTTCCCCTCCCCTCCCTCTTCGGTCCTGGCACGGCCAGCCCCTCTCCTTGGCTGCCACTAACGTGAGCTTCCCGCTTAGTCCCAAAGGCGGAGGACGTTAGGAGGGAGGCCGGGGTTGCCGCTGTTGAGGCCAAAAAAGGTTTTTGTAAGGGCCCCCGACGCCTTGTTCAACTTGATAGAGCGACCCCAGTTTCTTCCAGCTCACTTCCACTGAACTTTTAACCCCTTGGTGTCAGCCTTACAGGTAACCAGGGCAGGTTTCCTCTAAATTCCGCCCCCCCCCCCCCTCCTTTCCTTTCCTTTTTATTTTTCTTGGTTTTTAAGTTTTAAGCTGAGAACAGTCTTGCAGAAGGAATCTACTGGTAAGGACCTGAGTTTACAAGGGTGTGCATTTTTGCTAATCAGGTAAAAACAGGGACGCCCAGGTAAAACGTACCCCGTGTTAAACCTATGCAGACCGCGATGTGTGGTAACGACGCGGCAAGTCTGAGCAGGACACGTAAATGACGGTAGTTGTTCACTTTTCCCCCCTTACCACATTTGTTTAATTTGGAGGGTTTCTGTTTTTCCCCCTGTGACCGGCCCCCATTCTCACATAGTCTGATCTTTCATTAGCATCATAAAGGCAAAGAAATCCACTAGCACCTGGGATGCTTTCTCCCCAGTCACCCCCTTTCCAGTCCTGGGGCTGAGACTCTAAGGGCTCCATCCTGTTCTTCTGTCAGAAAAAAACACTTATCCTGACTCCACCCCCTTTCACCTAGTTGATCCTGGAGCTGCGTTCTCCTCAGGAGTTGTTCTGGATGTTGGTAAACCAAATTACAGAAAGTGTGGGCTGGGCGGTCAGCCTAGTCACGGACTGGATTGTGGGGGTGGAGATGGAGGGATAGAGGAGCCTGGAGGAGCAGATGATGGCACTGGGAGCGGGGAAGAGAAGGGACGGTCTTGGAGACCATGCTCTGAGATCCTGAGTGGGCTCGCAGGATTACAGATGTCCAGTCCAGTCTCTTCCACGATGACCGTGGCACCAAGCCCAAAGGGGCAGAAAGCCCAGCACCCTCAGCTCCTCTCTGATCTCCTTCTCTGCAGAGATCCCCTGGCATTATAAGAGTGAAAGCATGTCCGGGTCTAAAAGCAAAACCCAGAACTTCCACGGTGGTCTTGTTGCCTGACTTTCCTTCACAGAGGAAATGAAGCCTTGCATCACAGAAGGAAACCAAGGCCTTCTGAAGCAGACTGGTAGCACACGGTGGTGGTATGCTATGACTCTGATGGAAAGTGCAGATGGGAATTCACATCTGACCACACTGACCACACTGTGATCTCAAGGACCTGCAGATGGGGACAGAAAGCGTTATAAGACACGTTTTTAAAATCAGGCTTTTGTCCTTGGAACTCCCAAGTGGGCAGAGAAGAAAGTTGCCCCCCCCCACCCCAACTTTCTCAGCTCCAGGAAGTGGGTCTGCTTTACCACCAGTGAGAGGAGGCGAACAGAAAGGGAGGTTGGAAACCCCATATGAAAACCAATTTGTCTCTCTTGGCTCTTCCTTCATCCTCAGTAAATTCTTCTGGTTACTTTAAATGCCCTTTGTCTGCCCTAGCTGCAGCACAGGAAACAGGAAACAACTTGTCCCTAGCACCTGAATTTCTTAATTCATTTTGGGGGCAGAAGAGAGAATGATCCTCTGGAGCAGAGCTTCTCAAAGCATGGTGCACAGAGAATCGAGGGTAAGGTCTGGGACTCTATGCTTTTAATAGGCACTCTCTTTCATACATGCTAAAGTTTGGGAAGCCCTGGTATAGAACAAAGTCAGGCTAGGTACAAAGTGGATGACAGACTTCAGGGAGGGAAATAGGAGTAGGGGGCACTGGAGGCTGCCCGATCACTCTGGGAAACCAGAGATGTTCTTCTCTGGCTTAAAGCACTGTGGATGACCCCAGAACCATGACACCAGGGGATAACTGACCACTCTTCCTATTTTCCAGGGTCCCTGAGACTCATGCCTCCAAGCACACAAAGCCTTACCCTCATCACCCACAAACTCAGGGTTCTGGCCACTGGACACACCTCCACCCTGGGACCACAGCCTTAAGTTCCGTCACAGTTCACGCAGAGTTGAGCTAGTGAGCGCCTTCAAAGCTCTAGCCTTTCTTGGCTGTTCCTGAATGTCCCTGCTCCCCAACTTTGTCACATGAGCTGTTGCTGAAAGAGGATGTCAACTACACCACACATCGTGGAGGATGCAACAGCCATCTGTAGAGTGAAAGGCTCTATCAGACCGTTTATAGACCACTCGGTCATGGCTACCCTCACCAATGAACATCCACCACCCCAGGCCCCAAACGCATTTATGTCACATCAGTCCATTTAAAATAGACCCTCATCCTGTGTTAAATGTAACTTCTTTGATGTAAAAAAAAGTAAGGAAAATTATTCTTTAAAATTTTGAGTTTTATGGTATGTTCTTCCTTTTGTTCTTGTGATTCAAACTTTAGTACCTTTAGTTCAATTCACAAGCTCAGTTTTGTCCGATTCTGCAACTCCACAGACCGCAGCATGCCAGGCTTTCCTGTCCATCATCAACTCCCCGAGTTTGCTCAAACTCATGTCCGTCGAATTGGTGATGCCATCCAACCATCTCATCTCATCAAAAGAGTGATTTGCAGCTTCTAAGTTGGTTAAGTTTACCTTTAGGAGGCACTTAATAAAACATTTGTTCATTTTGATTTACCATTTTCATATTTTGAACCAAGACTTTTTTTTTCCCCCACATTGCTTTCTTATCTTGGGTCTTTGAAAGTTTTCAGGATGTGGAGCCCAGTTTGGCAAGGAGGGATCCTCGGTGGTGGAAGCGTCCAGATATTAATATTAGAAGGAAGCGATGAGAACCTGCGGTCAGATGTGAGCCCATTGTTTCCTCTTCCCACCTGCCAATCTCTCCAGTACTTCCTCTTGGCAGAACAAAATCAGAAACCAGCTGACAAGGGAGTCTGGGAAATGTGGCATATAGTGTCTTTTGGGAGATTGGTTCCATGCAGTGGAAACCTCGAAGTGTGTCTGAGGCAGGCTATAGAAGCCCCAGACCAGAAGGCTCAAACCAAATTATGGTGATGAAATTACAAAGGTTATGTATTTAGAGGCTGTCTATTTAAACCATACAGTTAGAACCAATCAGTCAGTCAGTCAGTTCAGTCACTCAGTCGTGTCTGACTCTTTGTGACCCCGTGAATCGCAGCATGCCAGGCCTCCCTGTCCATCACCAACTCCCGGAGTCTACTCAAACTCATGTCCATTGAGTCAGTGATGCCATCCAGCCATCTCATCCTCTGTCATCCCCTTCTCCTCCTGCCCCCAATCCCTCCCAGCATCAGGGTCTTTTCCAATGAGTCAACTCTTCACATGAGGTGGCCGAAGTACTGGAGTTTCAGCTTCAACATCAGTCCTTCCAATGAATACCCAGGACTGATCTTTAGGATGGACTGGTTGCATCTCCTTGCAGTCCAAGGGACTCTCAAGAGTCTTCTCCAACACCACAGTTCAAAAGCATCAATTTTTTGGCACTCAGCTTTCTTCACAGTCCAACTTTCACATCCATACATGACCACTGGAAAAACCATAGCCTTGACTAGACAGACTTTTGTTGGCAAAGTAATGTCTCTGCTTTTTAATATGCTATCTAGGTTGGTCATAACTTTCCTTCCAAGGAGTAAGTGTTTTTTAATTTCATGGCTGCAATCATCATCTGCAGTGATTTTGGAGCCCAAAAAATAAAGTCTGCCACTGTTTCCACTGTTTCCCCATCTATTTCCCATGAAGTGATGGGACCAGATGCCATGATCTTAGTTTTTTGAATGTTGAGCTTTAAGCCAACTTTTTCACTCTCCTCCTTCACTTTCATCAACAGGCTTTTAGTTCCTCTTCACTTTCTGCCATAAGGGTGGTATCATCTGCATATCTGAGGTTATTGATATAGAACCAATAGGAAAGAATTAGATAGGTTAACCCACTTGGGGGCTTCCCGGTAGCTCAGCTGGCAAAGAAATCTGCCTGCAATGTGGGAGACCTGGGTTCAGTTCCTGGGTCGGGAAGATCCCCTGGAGAAGGGATAGGCTACCCACTCCAGTATTCTTGGGCTTCCCTGGTGGCTCAGATGGTAAAGAACCTGCCTGCAATGCGGGAGGCTTGCAGGAGATCTGGGTTCAATCCCTGGGTGGGAAGATCCCTGGAGGAGGGCATGGCAACTCACTCCAGTATTCTTGCCTGGAGAATCCTCATGAACAGAGGAGCCTGGCGGGCTACAGTCCATGGGGTTGCAAAGAGTCAGACATGGCTGGGCGACTAAGCACAGCACAGCACCCCACTTGGGATGGGGTGTAATAGGGTGAAAGGGCTGAGCTCTCGGAATCTTGTGTTTTGCTCCGCTAGTGTAGTTGCAAGTATCAGAACTGAGGTTAAAGGAGTCAGTAGGTGGAACATGCTTGGAACTAACGTACACTTGCTCTACTGGGAGACGCAGGCAAGCAGGTCTGGCGTCAGGCTTATTCATACAACTCATAGGTTCTGGGCAGCCAGCCCTTTAGTCAGTGTTTCTGCACAGGAAGAGGGTTTAAGGATGTCAGCCCTGAGGGGGCATGCTCTACACCTGCTGACTTATGCTTTGATTTTTCTATTCCTTCCTACACGTAAGGAACACTCTTGTTTTTTCCCTTCTTTTCTATGTAGTACATTCCATTTATTCTATTTTTTCGTGTCTTACAGATTACAAACTTGTTCCTATTTTTAGTCATCTGAATTCTGCTTATGTCTCACAAACTACTTGCTTACTTATCATCTAAAGTTAATACTGACGATTTTCACCTATCCTGTTTGCTTTCCTTGTCCTCTGT